CCTTGATTTTCTGAAAAACATTTAAAAACGATTTTCCAAACTTGAAGCAGGAGAAGGTGAGAACATTAGCGAAAAACCTCAAAATTTCACAAAATAACGGTTTCAAATTGGTCTTGGCCTCTATTCTTCTCATGTAAACATGATCGAGAGAAAACTCAAAAAGTCTTTTTCCACCAATACCTAGACCGGTTTTCTCGTGAAGCAAAAAAAAAAACATGAGCAAACATCCAGGTGTAACGAGATCAGAAGACTACCGATTCATTACAGTTCGTCGATGACTTTTCAAAAAATAACCCTGTGACTCTTCATATTTTCTTGTTTTTGGAAGTTCCGCTGAAATTTAATTTCTCGAGATTGACGTATCTACGCCACGTTTCATGGCAATTAAATTTTAGTTCGAAAACAACTTTCCATTTTAAACTGATGTCATTTTTAAAAAAAGTTTACTTCCGTTTTGTAATAATCAGCGAAAAACAAGAAACACCGTTTGATAATCAAATGAGAACTAATTATTTCAATTGGAACCAGCGGTTGATGTTCGACGTCGAAATGTTTTTTAATCGCCTTTTTTTCGTATAGGTAATGCGTTTTTTTCAAATTTTTTTATAATGAACTGCATTTTTATGAAAAAAATCAAATTTGAAAAAAAGCCAAATAAATCTTTACCGAAATTTTTTTGAATTAAAGTTGAGATATCAAAATTATTTTTAATTTTCCGAGCTCTCAGCTTTTTTCATAAAACTCTCAAAGAAAAAAAAACTTTGGATTTAAAAAGTATACATCTTTCAGATATCTTCTAACAGGTTTTGCTTTCAGACGGAAAAATTGAGCTTCGAATCTTTCTGAAAAGTTTCGATCAGAACTTCGAACAGTGTCTGGATTTTTTGGCTCGCGTTTGTCTAAACGTCCATTTCGTTGGTTGATTCATGACAATCTCGAGAACCTTTTAGTTAGCCAGCGGCGGGGGCTGGAAAAGGGGGTGGAGTCTTGGTGCAGACGAACAGGTTGATCAGAGACCCGAGTAATCGTATAGCCTCAAGTATTTCCGACAGGACCGTCTCTTGGGGCTTTTTTTCCGAGATATTCTTTACTCCTGACTGTTTTCTGGACGGTAGGAAGAAGCATAACTTTTTGATTACCTTAGCTACCTGGAGAGAGGCTTTGGAAGTTTGAAGATACGTTTTTCTTCACATCTTTAGTTTTTTTCCGGCGAAGTTCCAGCTAGTTTCTGAAGTTTCTAGAAGCCTGTGATCCAATTTAAAATCGAAAATGATCATTTTTTCGAAGAGGCTTTTAGGAATTTTTCGCCACTCCTTCGAAGCTTTTTTGAGATTTTTCAACAGTGTTTAACTTGCTTTATAGTTAAACAGTTTTCCCAAGTTTAAAACGCAGAACCTGCCTGAAGACCGTATTATCACTAAAAAAAATATTATTTTAAAATTTCGCTTTCCAAAATCGGAAGTTTGCTCTGAATGAAGTGCACTTTGTTTCCTTCATGTCCTTCACGGTTGATCTCCATTTGTTGCGTTGCAATCTCTAAAGCCGTCGGTCTGCCGAACAGTTCCGTCCGTTTTTTTCCACAAGCGTGGGCTGTCTGTTTGCAGTTCTCTTTGCAAGCTGCGTTCTGAAAGTTGTGTTTTGAGATGGTGATTGATAGGATCTTAGCTTGTAGGCAAGACAGAATGGATTGACAGCCAGAAATTTATGCGTTATCGTCTGGAACAATCGTCTTTATTGGCCATTTCACTGTCTGCGTGGCTTGAGATCAACCTTTGAACTTCTGATTCTCGGCCAACTTTGTAGGTTCTTTAAGTATTCTGCTTTGAAATGATTGCAAAACTTGACATCTACAGAAATCCGTCAAAAAACCCTTTTAACACAAATCGTCTCCACTTACTAAAGCTTTCTGATGGCTGAAGCGAAATCGTTTCATTTTTTTTACTTTTTCTTTTTTTTCTACCGGTTCTAGACAAAACATTCATTTCAGAGGCTTATCATCCAACTTTTGAAAAATGCGCCAGAACACTGATAAAAGGATTATGAAGCCTTTCCGCAACACATTGGGGGACAGTTCAAAGATGCTAGGAGAACCAGGTTTCTAAGACAATAACCGTCCATTTTTGTTATCAATTTCAAAGTTTTTCTTTCAAAGTTTACTTGGAACTGTCTACTGTCTATTAGGGTTTCTTCTTCTTAATATAAATTCATTAGCCACTCTCTTAAAAAGACAAAAAAAAATCCAAAATGTGCGAGCGGTGAATAAAGTGCCACATTTTTATGATATTCACGTGAAAATAGGCTGCAAAGACAAGTGGAGAGATCGGTATCAGAACCAAAAAAATCAATTATCACACAAAAGTCTCTCAAAAAAAATAAGTTGAGTTCTTCAAAACGCGTACTGTCTCGCGATTTGCGCTGCTCGTCTGGGTTCTCATAGAAAATGTTGCCTGATGGACGGCATATAGAGATGAGGCGTATTTTATTGTCCACTGGCCAGAGATCGTGATCGCGGTTCCACAGCCGTCGCTTCGCCACCTCGCACCCCATTTTCCTAGTGGGCCCCACTGAGGTGTGTGTGTGTGTTGTTTGCGCCAAAAGTCAATTTCAAAGCATTCCGTTCTTGAACTTTGATGTCGTTGGTCTTGGATTAGTGTAGTTTTGCTCCCTTTCGTTCAATTTTGGAAGAACAGTCCTAAAAATATGGTTTGTTCGGAAAATCATTCCAGTTTTCAAGAGCCTTAGAAATGGAACTGAGCCTGATCAAACTTCAAGTTCTTACCCACTAGACCTTGAATAAGTATACCTGCACTTCATTAAGCAACCTAGTAGTCCATCGTGAATCATCCATTTTCGTCATTTATTTTTGAGCACTGGTATGTGTTTTTTGTTTCCAACGATTTGAAAATTTTAATCATCAAAGTGTCCGGAGTTGATGAGAGACGCAAAAGTAACGTAGGTCTGAGTTACAATTGAAAAAGTTTCCTTTTTGAGATTTTACAAAATTTTCCTGATTCCTTTCCAAAAACCAAACTGAGTTGGCAATCCAGAAAAGAAAATATAACGATACAAGTTGATCTTTTGATTTTTTTGCAAAACCTTTCTCTTTTATTTTTTTTTACCTTAGGCATCCACTTTACAACACTCTTCGACCGGACAATGTCTATCACGAGACCCGCAAAGTTCAAAAAAAAAAGTCTCTCTTACCATATCAAAACATCTACTTTCCTTTTCTCTACCAAACAGTATTCCATGGCGTACTTTGGCACGAACAAACATCCCTCTTCCCTCAAAACTTCTGCGAGAATCTCGTTTCGTTTTTATTCTTCAACGTCGCCTCCTCGCATTCGAAAACAAGATCAAGAGATCACTGCGGTCTATTCGAAAACGACAGTCGACCGACGCTCAGGGTATCGATTCATTCACGCCAGTCAGGTTGACGAACCTATTGCGGCCTGAGTTTACGACTTTTTATGGAGCGTTCTCCGCAAGAGGTCATGTGGTCTACTCGCTTTCTGTTATTCAAATTTTCTTCTCCAAAATCCTTTCTTTCTATTCAAGATTTATATATTTTCTCAATTTTTTTCTCTTTTTGATACCGCACTTCATTCCAACGAAACTTTTTAACTTTTTCATTTGTTTGAAATTTTCCTTTTCGAAGCACTAGTTTGAAGAATAAAGCAGCCTTTGAAACAATAATGAAAAATAAAACGTTCTCAAAGATTCTGGAAAACGATCGCTAAGCTACAATTTCAGACCTCTTCCATTTTCGAACTTCCAAAAACATGTCACTTTATTCTCAAACCGCAAAACAAGTTATTATTGTTCTTCACAGTGACTGGACAATTTCGGAATGTACTTTGCAAGCGTCGTTTGGAGCTTCTTAGAAAGCTTTTTAGACGTAAATAAACGTGGCGTGGCTCAAGAATCTCTGAAGCCCCTTGAAGCTTTTTTCTTCAAAAGGTTGGGCTTTGTACCGCTATAAAGCTTGGGAATAACAATATAGTAAAGTCTTTTGTTTGGTTGGCCCACATCGCATGATGACTTTTGTGAGACGGGAAACGATAGCTGTAATAACTCATATCTTTCGATGTTTCCTGGGTTTCCGATCATCCCATACTACAATACTTTCTTCCTTTTTTGGAAGTATTCATGTTCTTCCGAGCATCTGGAGGTGTTTCCAGCCTTTTTCGAATCATAATTCTCTCGCTCCGCCCATTCGCCGCAGTTTTGTAAATTGTCAGCCTAGGAAAGCCTGCTCTCTTCTTTAAGCATTCGATGGGGTATTTTAAACTCTTCTTCTTCCTCTTTTTATTTCTATTTTCTCTTTACATCAATTCAGCATTTCAAGAGAATACTATTAGAACTGGTCAAAATTAACAAGTTTCTCAACGGAGTCTTTTTCCAGTCGTCAGCCGATTTGAATATGCTCCAGACAACAATCACTTTCAAAATGAGAGGCAATAAGAGATAGAAAACCGTTTTTTCGCTGTCTAGACCTTTTGAAAATTTATTTTTCCTTGTTCACCAGAAAATAAATATTGGGAGTCAAGTCTGTTTTTGATATAAATGGAATTTGATGTGGGTATCAAAGTTTCTTTTAGTTTTATTTTGACTGACCCCATTTAGAAGACTTAACTATCTCTCATTCCAGTTTCTAAACGGACAGGGCTATTCAAAAAATCAGTTTCCTCCACAAGTTGTCCTAAGTGGAAAACCTCATCCAACTGAGACGCAAACTTCATCTAGACCATTTTGAATTCCTCTCAGAATCCGAGTATTGAATGATGGGTGCGATTGCACCGCGATCTAAGTGCCGACCGATGTCACCAAAGATGACGGCGTTCGGCACGGCCGCGTCGCTCGTTTTTCCTATCCCTCTCTGATGTTTGATTGATTCGGCTTGTGTTTTGTGTATATGTATGTATAAACGTGGTTCTCTTCCGTTCCGGGCATTTTTTGGACTCCATAATGTCCAAATTTTTGCAGAAATTCACCAACCTATGCTCCTGTCGCTGACATCAACGCAAGTGGCGGCTCAATTCCCTCACAAGAAATCACCGAAACTGTCGCAGCAAACTGATAGTGAGTGTAATTTGAAAGCTTTTTTGAAAGATCAAGAGATCAGCTCCGAATTTTGTCATTTTAAGATCATCTTCAAGTCACAAAAACAATCAGAGATGTGATGTTGGTCAATAAATTTATGAAAAACGGTATCAGAAAAAAGTACTAATGCGAAGAAACTGCGATCGAAATTATTTTCTATTTCGGCTAACTTGAATTATTCTTCAAGCCTTCAGCTTGCTTTAATGATACCATCAAATGTCAAAAAATACAAAAAAAAAAAAATGATTTTCGTTGCTTTCTCTTCAATATATGACGGGATAGGCTCAAAATTTTCCGTACAATTTTCTCTGAGTTGTGTTATAATTGATATGCTCGAACTTAAAACGTCAAGGTCACTGAGAAATTTTTCCTATTTTGCAGTGCAGTGTAAAAGAATACATTTCTCTGAATTCAAAACAGGAGAAGATAAAGAAAAAAAGATTTCATAAAATTGATATTACGCAAGTCAGTTTCAGTCGGTCGCGCTTCAAAAATGACAAGGATTGCGTTGTTGCTCCTGCGGCTCTGAATTTTATGTTGAAGCAAATCGACTATAAATAGTGCCTCAATTATCAAAATTGTCTCATTTTTCTGCATTATGATTCTAAGTCAACTTGGAACCTATTTCTGTCGAAACTGAAAAATAGAATCTTTTTAGAAGTTCGCCCGAGCAAATGCTCGGAGCTCTGTGCGGTTTGCGGTGATCAGTCTACTGGTTATCATTACGAGGTGGCAAGCTGCAACGGATGGTAATTCAACCGAAAAATCATCACAAGGAAAAGCTCAAGTTTTTTCAGTAAAACATTTTTCCGTCGTACGATTGTCTCTGAGAGGCAATTCAGATGCCACAAGGAAGGCAAATGTCTCTTTACCAAAGGTGATTTTTTCTTTTCTAGTCTCCCGGTTCAAATTCTGTTGAATGTTTTTATTATTCTCCTTTCCGAATTTTAAATGAACCTTCTGAAAAAAATATTCCCATTTACAGACATTCGCTGTGCTTGCCGTTGCTGCCGTTTCGCCAAGTGCCTGGAAGTTGGAATGAACCCGAAAGGTTAGTTTTTGTCTTCTCTTTGTTATGTTCTCTGGAAAAACTTTCTGCTCGACATTTGCATTCTCTAAAGCACCAAGGAACAGGAAGAGTCATCCCTTTCCAAAAACAAACCCGATCTTTGCATTTTCCAAGCGAATGTTGCCGAAGTTTGATAACGTCTTCGTCATTATTGCTCTAGTCATCAAGTTTTAAGAGCAAAGGCTTCGTAAGCCGGAAAAAATAACACCATGGAAATAAAAAACAATTCCTGACATTTGAATGAAAAAAGGAAAGTTTTGACTATTATAATTTTTCAGCTATCCAAACATGTCGTCCAGCTTTCGAGACCAAGGAAAAATCGACAGTTTCACCTTCAACTTCCCCCGAGGTGAGAATAGTTTGATAAAAAGTATATTTGTCTGACTTCTGAAAGCAAAGTTTAATAGAAGATTTTAGCCTTGTAGGGTGATAATTCTGAAAAATTTTGATCTTTCAACCCGTTATCATTCAATTCTGCAGGACTGGCGCCCAAGTTCACACTTGAACTATTCAACAAAGAGCAATAAAAAAACTATAAAATACCAAATTCTATGATCAGAGAACAATAAAGAATTGATGGCAGATTATCAACTCCATCAAAAGTGATCTTTAAAAAAAGTGAAAAAAGAAAGTTCGGTAAGCTGAATATCTTCAAAATTTTTTTCAAATCCACGTGTTGAATTGGTCAAACAGAAACCAAAAAAAAACCGTTTAGCGAAGAGATTGCAATGGTTTACCATCCAATTGTGACCACATGAATTATTACGGTAGTTAGAAACAGGGATGCAGTGTTTCCAGAAAAAAAGAAGGCGTGTTTGAATTGAAAAAAAGGGACAGGTCCAGACTTCCAACTAAAGCAAGAACAGGAATAATAAGTTTCAGTGCTCGAAGAAAAGGAGATACGACATTTCGTCTCTATTGGACATGGCGCCAACTTGCTCGAGGTCAACGTCGCCTTCTGATTCGAGCACTCGTAGCCGTTTTGAATCGGTAAGTTGTGAAAAGACAAAGTTGGTGATAACTCAAAAATACATCGATTTTTGAAAAAATCTATAAAAAAAAACAGAGCAAATTCAGTGTTAAAAAGTTCTTTAGGCCAGAATTCATAGATGAAAATTACTTTTGGAATCACGGTTTCCATTCTTTCTAAGTAACTCGAGAAAAAAGCAAAGATCACAATTCAAAGATCTCATAGAAAAAAGAGGTCTTTCTTATCTTCTTCACCCACCTTCAGTCTCTTTCAGTGTTTGAATTGGGCAATAAAAAAGTGACACATGTGACACTTTCCATGGACTCCTTTTTCTGGAACTTTGAAAATTGGAGAATGGAGGAGGGAATAACTTCGTTGAAAAATAAATTATGAAACTATTCCAGAGTCTGGTGGAAATGTGCTCGGAGGTTGAGGATCGTCTCTCTTACCTGCGGAAGTCAACTTTCCAGCCTTCTTCCTCGCTTCTGGACGTCCTGACAAGGCCTTGTGCTCTTGACAACGTCAGCACCTATGATGTGAGTTTGAGAGTGTTTAAGTATGAATATAATGCACCTTGGTTAGGGTTGCGATGGCTCAGGTCGACAATAATCAAAAATTTTTTTCTTAATTAAAGAAAAAAAATATTCAACTATTTTTTTAATATATATTTTTGCATGCCGTTTTGATATTCGAAATAAAAATATGAGCTTAGGATACAAAGTTACAAAAAAGTCTTTCCCACGTGTCAAACCATCTAAGAATCATAAGGCTATGTATTTTTGAAATTTTCGTATTTTGACTTGAAAAAAAGATTATTAATTACACCTAGCTACAAAAATTTAACCAATTTTCTTAATCTCAGCTTCATTTGAACATTGAGATTTGTTTCAGACCGCACCGCTCCACTTCATTTCAAACGAAGTCGACTTTGAGAAAGAGACCAACTACGCCATCGAATACACCAAGTATTACAAATGGTTCCGGGATATGGTCTTCACCGATAAGGTACTTTTTGGACAGAATCAATAATGTTTGGGGCAAGTGGAACCGGTTTCCGGTGGTCAAAGTTTGTTCGTTTTGGTTGTTTGGCTAGAAATTGCAAAGAAAAGTTGGGAAGAGAGAAATGATAAGGCACAAAGGACGATCGATGTTTCCTTGAAGTGTTTTGTAAAGTAATGATATGATAAAAACCTAAAACTTGAGGTTTTTTCAATTAAACGAAATTGAAAAATTGAAGTCTGATCCAAAGTCGAAAATTTATTGAAAAAAATATTGGCATGAAAAGATCAAAAGATCAAACTTCTTATTATTCCTGCCAGTTTTAAAAAAATTATCCAGAGGTTCAAATTTTTAGGACAACTTTTGGTGGAAATTGCAACAGTAATGTCATGTTAAAGCTTTATTTTTTTTTGGTTCGAGGCTACAATTTCTGGTAGGGAAGAAGGTTAACAGACCGTGCAAGATCGAAAAATCAAAGTTTCTGATATTTTCCGAGTTTTCCATCCTTCAAAGCTATAGATCTAGAAGGGGGACGAAACCGACCTAGATTAAATTAAGAAGTACTTTGAAAAAGAAAAAACGGAAAAGAAAGAAAAAATCAGGAGAGAAAGCCTCTTCATACTGCTTCTAAATGTTATTATCAAAAATTCGGGAAAAAAAAAATGAAATATTGTCTTGTTATACGTGTTTTTTAAAGATTAAGCCTGATTTTCCAGTTCATCCTGCTCTGCGATCGTACTTTGCTTCTGGTGGCGATGCGTCTGGCCTACAGAAAGGCGACAAACAGCGCTGAATGCAGAGATAGCTTGAGGTGAGGATTTTTTTCTCAGGAACAAAGAAGGTCCTGATCTTTGCGCGTTTTTTTGTAATCAATCATTTTCGGCTTTAACGAGAGATAAAACCTGACCCAAATTAGTGGATTTTCTTCTTAGAACACTGGTGTGGGAGATGAAAATCGAGCTGAATGGACTTTATGTGATCCATGGATTTCGGGGGAACCACCAGAAATCGAAGCTATTTATGGAGAAAAATCATAAAAGTTATAGAAAACAGTTGATTTCTTTCAATATTTAACGTTTTGTTAGGAAAATAAGCCTTAACCTTAGAGATTGGTCATTTCCAATAAAACCTGAAAACCTCAGGAAGTTTTCCAATCTTACTCTTTATTCTTCTGGTTTCCAATCTTTTGAACCCAATACTTGATTTACAGCCTCCGTCTGCGGCCAGCAATCGAAAAAATCATCCAGTATGATGTGGACCGCGTCTCTTTCGCTCTCTTGAACGCGATCCTTCTCTTCGATTGTGGTTCGTCGTTAACTTCTTTTTTTTATTCGATTGTCAATGATAAGAAGGGTGCAGCCACTTGAAGAGTGATAATCTTTTCGACATCATTGTGATGAAAAAAAATAGAGAGTTTTGATAAGGTTTTATCGGCGATTGTGGGACTGGTCGGAGTTGAAGGAAGAAAAAGGTTTATGGGTCTCAAGCGTCAGGAACAAGAAGAAGAGAACTGATCATGTATCCCTGAAACGGTTCCATAAAACAAAAGTTATATATTTTCCCCTATCTTTTTAGCTCTACTCAGTTTACAAGACTTCACCAAAAGTCAGAAGAACACAGAAAAAGGTCAAAATCTCGACGCACCGCCACAGCACAAAAACTCAACTTTCAAAAACCAGCTTCAAAATTTTCTGGCCGCATGTTGAATGGCTTTAAGCTTCGACACGCTGCAGATCGAGCTAGATTATCAAAGAAATTCTCGTGAAGGACAATTTTTTTTTTTGAATTTTGAATGAATTTTTTTGAAGAAGCACGATCAAATTAATACTAATTCAAAAGTTTTTCTTATAAGATCAAAAAATTTACCTCAATTCAAAAGGAAAAGAAACGTTTTCAGAATCGTTCGTTCTCTCAAACGAGACCAAGGAAAAGCTTCGCAGTGAGAAGCAGAAATACGTGGATGCTCTCGGATCATATCTCTTCAGCAAGTGAGTATATTCACTATTCATTAAAAAAAGTTTTCATGAAAAATACAGAAAAAAAACGCAGTCTCCAAAATAATGATACTTTATCTAACCTTTTTTTCCATCAAAACCTACTTCTTTCATTCAGGTATGGCACTGGAGGACCAATAAGCCTGGCCAACCACATCTCCCTTCTCTGCTCGATTTTGCACTGCGCCGCGGATCTCCGTACCGAACTCAATTCCAAGCTTCCCAGCGGGTCACTGACGCGTCAACTCGTTGACAATATCCACAACCAACATGTCTGAGCTTTTTTTTTCCTTCTTTCCACCTGATCTTCATTTTTTTTCATCACATTTTATGTTATTAGACAACGAGAAAGATGTCTGAACATTCCGTAAAAACCGAAAATGACCCTTGTAGAGAAAGAAAGTGTCTCTTTTTCCAGTTTTATGGCTTTTTGGACTCGGCCAAGTAGAAAAAAAGAAACTGAAAAAAATTAAAAAAACTAAAAAAAGGTTTTTTTCTTTTTATGGGCTTGTTCTTAATAAAATCCCCGGTTTATTTCAAGTTAGAACTGAGAAGTAGTAAACTTTTTTAAATCGATCACTATTTTTCTGTTCCTGTTTTTTTATTTTTTTGACTTTTTTTGAAGTTATTTCTTTTTGGACTGTACAGTTTCAAGCTGTCGCAAATAATATTCAATTCATTCTTGAAATTTTCTGTAATTCTTTCAATAATTCTACAACGTTTTTGTGCATCCTTTCTGTTCCATTCATTCAACCAACTTTTATTTCAGTTCATTTCATGTTTATTGTCTTGTCCATTTTTCTTGTACTCAATGTTTTATTTGTAATATGTTCGTTTTTCTGTCTATTTTTTTCTATCTTTAATAATTTTTTTAACTTATGAGATTTGTGTGATTGTCTTTGTTCTTCTAATATAATGATTCAAAAATCATGTAATATTTTTGTCGTGAATGAAAAAAAGTTGATTTATTCAAAAAAAGTATACCTAGTTTAAGGAAAATTTTACAATATTAGTCGACAGGAAGCACCGAGAAGTGGGTACCAAAAAAATAGCAAATTATGAGTTAAAATTCATTCAAAATAGCTTTTACAAGGTGCTCATTGCACCTTCAAGTTTTTGCGAACGAATTTGAAATAAAGCGGCACAGGGGAAAAGGCATTACGAAAAGCCTGAGAGATTGATGAGCGATTCAATTTCAACCGATGCAATCCAAGAAAAAATATTCAAAATGACACATTTCCACATTTTAGGAACTTTCAAAGACTCAAAGATGTTTTTGGATGAAATTAGAGGCGTCTCTATACGGACAAGAGGAATCTTTAAAAGAATCGAGGACAAGGACTCGAAGACGAGAAGAACACAGAGGATTATCCTTATTCTGCATTTCCTTTTTGATATAAGAAGTGAACTGGTTCTCATAATTTTGAGCTTGAGTAGCGAATTTCCTGGCGTCGGAGAGGATTCTTTGGACGTCATCTGGAACCAGAAACTCTGAAGTTGAAAAAGAAGTAAGGTTTACCATTAGAATCTGCATAAGCGTAGAAATCCAGGAATTTCTCGTCCGATGAAGAGAGACATTCCAAAACCGGCTGGACGAAGGGAAGAGAAATGTGCGAGGAAATGGTCCTGTCGCTCCCGTCTCGCATCCTTTCAAACGTCCTTTTCAGTGTTTCAAAAGTGGATCTTTCAGAGCCCCAGAGGTCTTTCCAGATGAAGGAGCATTGAGCGATCTGAATGGTAAAGGTAGAAATTTCCAAAAACTCTTCAATGAAACATAAAAAAAGTGAAATTTCCGGAACAAGGCTTTTCACCTCGAAATTTGTCTAGATCGTCAAGGGGAATGTGAGGAAAATGAAATTCTTGTTCCACAGGCTATTGTGTACTCGTGTGTACTTAGATTTGCCTAAAAGTCCAAAATAGGAATGTCCTACCCTTTTTGGAAACAATGAACGAAGAAGAAGAAAAACTAGCTTCGTGAAATTTTTTTCGCTTTATTTTCAAACTTTCATTGCCCACACCTATAAACAGGCCCTACAAATTTCTTTTCTCAAATTAGAAGCTTTTCGAAACTCAACTCAAACCACTTTGGGAGAGGTTTAAAAAACACCATAATGAAAATTACTTCTCAAAAGCCTGAATGTGACTCCGGAAAAAACTTCGAAAAAGTCTGAAATTTTTGTTTCTCATAGACTGCTTTTTCTCATTTCAATTTCTTCCTTCTGAAAATCCCTTTGAGCAAACCATTGAGTCAGTGAGAGCCTGCATAACGTTGGCGAATCCGAAATGGTTCCCGTGAGCATACAATTGTTCGGCAATCATAATCCACTTTCCCGCAACTGTCGCATCTCGATAGATGACAATCGAAGACAAAACTGTCAGCGCGACAATTCGGCTTCTGCAATTTCTCTCTTCAAACTCATCAAATTTACAGAAAAACCTTTCAATCAAACTTTTACGCAGTTCTGCGGCCATGGGAAGCAGGACATAGTGCAATCCATTTCTAGGCTTGGCTTCAAAATCTCCAATTCGGTCACGAGCCCACGAACGCTGAAAAGCCATTGAAAACCAAAAAAAATAGGCTACTTGGTACCTTTTCTCTCCACATATTGAATACTTTGCCGTCTTCGGCTGTGAGATATCTTGCAATTTCACCGGCTGTTGAATCTCTCAGGAAGTTTTGAAGCACAGTTTTTTCAAAGGAGACACTGTCACGAGGGGAAGGCGAGATCGAGCTGGAAAAACTTTTTTTTCGTAACATTTAGGAATATTGTCAAAAAGTCTTTGCCTATCTTTGAAGGGCTTTATAAAATAATTGGACTGTTATTGATTGTGAAAAATAGAAATCGTCGGAAAATTTTGATTCGTTGGCCCAGAAGCTTGTTTAAAAGCTTGAAAAATATAAATCCAAGATTTCGCGTGAAAATTGAGATAAAGTTTGAAAAAAAAAACCAACCCGATGCCAGAATCTCTGCGATTATCATCGTCGTCTGGATCCTCGTTGTTTTTATGCTTTGGTGGCTCCTCGTTGGCCAAACTCCTGGAACATATGTATTTTTTTTTGATGGGATACCCCTCTGAACTATGAGAACGCTCTAAAAACAGTTTTGAGCTGAAAATTCAGAACTTTTTTGCTTATCAGCTTTTAATTTTTTTCCAATTTATGATTCAATATTTTGTTCAACCACGCTCAAACTGTTACCACTTGCTTGAGAATCAAGTTATCATCAAAGTTTTTTAGAACCATTCTCTCAATTTCTTATTTTTTCAGCTCCTCACCATATATCCGTGTCCCTCGAGCTCCGACAACTGTTGTATGGGCTCTTCGAATCGGGGCTTCCGCTGATAGTTTCAAGACTTTCTTTGCTCATTCGGTTCGGCTCCCAGAGCTCGGCTTTCGGAATCTGTAGAAAATTTATGATGTACATTTTTGAAATTATATTCTCTTACCGCATAATCTTCATTAGTCAAGTCCTGCTCGGATGGTCCTCTAGCGTCAAGAGCCTCAAAGGAGTGAGGGATCTGAAAATTTACTTGCTAATTGAGATTCTCACAATGAAAGGAACTCACTGAGTAGTCAGACATTGACAGGTTCTGCGCGAACATTCTCGATAAACTGGAAGTTGGGTTGAGTTTCTTGGTTGGAGAAGGGAATACTTCGCAGAGGACATCGACGGATTGAGCTGTAAAAAATAGGAATTGTGGAGAGGATATTTTAAGATAGGTATAGTAAAAATATATTTGAAAAAAATTGATTTCAAAGACTTTTTCATAAGTAAAAAGGTCTTGACTTCGAGAAAAAAATAAAATATTTATGTGCTTACTCAATATATTTCCTTCGACTTTGATATTTCCAGGACATTTATTCAGGCAATTTAAGTCATTTTTTCTTCAAAATTCATAAAAAGTTCAATAAAAAAACAGCTTTACTTTTTTTGCAGCTCGCTTGGTCTTCTAAATGGCGCCAAATCCCTGTTCGAATCGTTGTTGTTCTTCCACTTCGACGCCAAACTCGAGAACGAGGTTTGCATCTTTGACTCGACACAATCCATCTCGTCATAATCCATGTCGCAGTACTGAAACGAGCGGATTACTAGAAATTCAGACTGCTGATTAATTACGTCTTCGCTGTAATCCTTGTTGGAATGCGAGAACGCCGCCATTTTTGGAGCTTCGTTCGGCACTGGAAGGGGAAGACGACGTAAGGACTCTGGCAGCGGCGGAATGTAGCCCCGTGGACTGGAAATGATGGCGTTTGAACATGTTCTTTCAATTTTGAAAATGGTTTCCGTCATTTTGATTGGAAAATGATCCGAATTGATAAAAGAGAAGAAGAGAAGAAGATACGAAAATATTGAAATGAAGGCAAGAGACAGCTCAAAGGAGCCAGAAAGCCTGCAGTAAGGGTTTCAAAATGAATTTTAAGAAAAAAAAAAGCTTTAAGATTATTCTTTCTAATCCTTTTAAAACTTGCGTATAAAGCTCATTTTTTTCTCGACCAATTAACTAAGAGATTCAAGAAATTCATTTCTTTATTTGGTATCTTTTTCTCAGATGTCAATGACCTAATAATTTCCTGCGATTTGCTCATCATGATCTTGCTAAAATTTTTCCGCATTCCCCTTGTTATTCCAGAACTTACTTGCTATATCCCGAAGACGAGGATCGCACAAATCGAGTCGCGTTGTTCAACCTCACTTGTTGATCCAGAGGTCTCTCTTGTTCTTCTAAAAATAAAAGTTAAATCAAATTCCTTCTATTTTCACCAACTTCGCTGATTGAAGTTGAAGAACCTCATGTAGTTGGACTCCTTTTCAGGGCTGTTTTCGTCCTGAATTTGTTTTTAGGTTCATTTTCTGAAGTTTTCCTCGTACCACTTTATGACTGAACTTGGGAACTGGCTGGAGGAGGACACAGCCACTTGCCAAGGTCACTGGACGTCGATGAACAAAGTAGAAGTTGACGAGGTCCACAACAGTGTTGAATGATTCTTCTTCGAACTGAAAAGAAAAACTTTGTTTAGTTAAAAAGTTTCTATATTCTGAGAAGATTTCATCAGAACAGTCAGATTTAAAAATTCTCTTTCTTTCGTGTAAATTCAAAATAAATGAAAAGAGTTTTGACTCAAAAAAGCTAAATTTTTTTTCAAACGAGGTGTGATTTTGAAAAATCTGATCTTTTCAGATTTGATTGAGGTTTTCAGATTATGGAGCTCCAGTTATAGGCCTTTCTAGGCAAGAATTTCTGAAAAGGTGCTTTCAAAAAGTTTTCAGAAGTTTATTAGTGATAAATCTAAATTGGTTTTTCAGGTTTATCCTCGGAAAAATGTAGATCTGCTAATACTTTTTTGAGGATCATTCATTTTTCTCCTTTTTTTCTTCAAAAATTAAAAAACTCTATTTTTCTCCTCTTCTTCTTGCTCTTCCAAGACCCCAATCCATTTATCTCCAAAAAAACATATCCGTTGCGCTGGATGAGAAATGAGAAAAGCATTTAGCATATCCCGTTACCTTACAACACCCATCTGTCACATCCGACGTGTTTCTGTCAATCAACCCCCCGCCAGCCATTTCCATTACCGACACGCCGTAATTACAGTGCCCTCAAGCCAACGCCGAAAACCCAGAATTATGGGAGCCATGACACCTGCGATTTTGACGCTTTTGCACACCAACACCGAAACATCCTAGAAGTTCACTCAAGCGGCTACTTTTCGAGGTCAAGTTGCTGCGGCTGGCATTATGGGGTTTTTATTGGGTTTTTCAAGTTGTTCGGATAGTTTCTGAAGACTTTTTCAGATATCTTGTGTAGCCTTGTGGTCTCGATGAAAGCCAATAGTACTAGGACTTCCCGAGAAACGTGGAAATACTTAGCCAGTATTGGAAAAAGTTTTAGTGGCCACTATAGAGGCTCGTCAGGGACTACTTGGAGAGGACACTAAACCCACCTCTATAGTGGCTACTATTTTCCGTTTCAGTGGCCACTTCAGTAGTTTTTCATCCAGTACTATTTCCAGTAACTTTGATAATTTTAAATACACAAATTGGACCGGTTATGTTGATCCATTGACCCCTGAAGTTGCCACTAAAAATTTTAATAGTTTAGTAGAAACACTTAGACCTCTATAGTGATTACTAAGTTTTAACCCCTCAAGTGGTCACTAATTTAACTACTACAGAGGTCCCTGAAAGGTCAAAACCCTATAGTGGCCACTATATTTTCACAGTAGCTCAACTTTTTTTGCACTTCCAGGAGCTTTTCGTTTCCCTCTGCGTTCGTTTTTTCAAAATGTTTTCACTCACATGATACATTTTCTTGCTGCTCTCCATCGACGCATTCACTTGGAAATGGAGGGCTCTGTCTTTCCACATGGCTGTCAGTACAAATTCTCCGGTCTTCGAAATCGAATCACGGACCTGAAAAAATTATCTCAATATAATGACTTTGTGAGAATATTTTACCATGCTGAAATCTACCTTCTCATTTTTCCCTAACACTTGCCTTCTCATATTTTCTTTCATTGTGAGTCTTCCCTCTTACCCAATCCGACTCCGTGGCTCAAAAGGAATGCGAGAAGCGGGGGATGCCACCCAAGTAAGGAGGCCAAATAAACACAGTGAGTCAGCCAAAAGTACACACAAACACTCGCGAACCGTTCGCCTTGTTTTGGCTCGAAACGATTGGCTTTGTTGTTGACAGACGTTCTGACTGACATAGTATGTACAAGTTGCCGGATTAGGCGGCCAGCCAAAAAGCCAGGGCATTTGAGCCTTTTGTCTCACATCGGCTTGGGCCGTCTGTTTCGTTGGCGTAGTACATTGACCTTATGTTAGCTGTGAAAAATTGGCGAAAAGACTCTTTTTGGCAAGATATCGATGCGCCTTTGAAAAGGAACGAAGGGGTTTTTACCCTATTTTGCTCCGGAAAAGTCAAAAATTCTGTTAAATAATTTTAAACAGTTCAATGGAAGATGAATTATTTCGAAAAGAAAACATCATCAAACTCGTTTGAAACGGTAATCAAAAGTATACCCAAAATGCTTGGTGACGTCTTTTTCAGCAATATGATCATAACGAATCAACATGAAAGAAAAACAATATGAGATGGTTTTCAAATAATCACATTTGGTTGTTAAATTTTCCTTTTTATCACTTCAAAACCTACCAAAAAGTCTCCATTGTGACCAAGAGATTGCTCGGCTCCGACTCTTGTGACCAGCCCATGGTACCACGATTGTTGGCCAATTTCCGAGCTGCTTGGACCCGGCATACTGTAATCGTCCATATCCGATTCAGCCACCACCTGGAAACAAAAACCTTGAAGAATTTCGAAAAGTCCTGGATATCGCACAGAAACGAGACGATTTTTGTGGAAGTCATAAGTTTCTCAGGAAAGGAAAACAATGAAGAAAAAACTTTTGAGTTGAACATTTCACTAATAAAAGACTTATTATGAAAAGAAAAGTCTGGTACGGAAGACATACATGTTAGAATGAAAAGAGGGAAATAATACTAACTGTAAAGATTACGATAAACTCTAAGATTCGTCCAAAATCCTTTAATTACCCACTTTCGAGGGCCCTTATCCACATCGAAAAGGCCATAAATCGAGAACCGCTGCTCGCGCATCAATAATAAACTATTCCAATTAACAAGAGGCCACTGAATAGGAAGAAGGAGGAGCACGCAAGAAACGAATCCGACGACACGAAGAACAACTGCCATTAACAAATGGCGGAACTCGGAAGATGGTCGGCCCTCGCCACATGGTGCATACATTTGCGCAAAAACCGATCGCTGCTCGAGTGCATTCAGGAGCACTTGAACTTTTGCCGATATCCGGCTGGTCCCACTCATCAGGTCCAGGTCCATATTGGGTGAGAACCGATACCCGCCCAATCAACCAGCCACAAATGGTCGCATTGTCTCGGTTAATGAAGTAGTGTTTCATGGAAATTTGGTATGCGCCTTTATAATTGCGAAAACAAATACTTGAAGTTCATTGGGTGAAAAATAAGGTACTTTTAGTTGCCTTTTTGAATTTATTCTCCATTTTTGAGTTAAAATCATGTGGGTGAAAAATAAAAAAGACTTGAAAAAAAATTTTTTTTTTAAATAGGTTGAGTAAAACGGTAAATCATGGCCGTTTTTTTTCAAAAGAGCTCTCTTCCTAATTTTTTGAGCAAAAAATCAAGGGGTTTGATACTTTATAAAAGCCGCAGTTTGTATAAGAGGTCTTAGCGTTATTCTCTAGAAATCCGTTTTTTAATCCAAAAATTACAAAGACGGTTAAAAGTGATTTTGATCAACTCAGGGAATTTTTATAAAACCTGAAAATTGTCTAAAAAACGAAAATAACCAAATCAACGGTTAAAAGGGTTGTGGCATGCCAGCGGAGTACTATAAAATGTGGCAAAATGAAGTTCGAAGCGCCGGACGGCACGACCGCCATTTTTCCAAGTTTTTTTTTGTTCTCGGAACATCCAGATGTCCGCGAAATTAGGTGCACGTGTAAATTGCCAAAGACAACTCAGCACGAGTAAAGCAGAAAAAAAAACCGGAGAGTCGGAGAATCTTCAGTGAATGAAAAATGAAATAAATTGAAAGCTTTGATTAATTTAAGAGTCCATATATTTTATTTTTTTTTTTGGAATTTTATTCCAGAATTGGATGAATAAGAAAACTGTAAAAAATTTTGATGCAGATTGACAAAAAAAATATGAGGTTTTTCAAAAAAAAAACTTTGACTATACATCCGTTGTCAGAATGATGCGAATGACAGAACGGAAGTTGACATTAATCTTGGAAAGTTTTCCATTTCTCAGAACAAAGACGACGTTCAAATGCCGCAGAACGCGTCAGGTCACATCAGAAATGTTGCCATCGTCCAGGTCAACGCAGACCTTTTCTAAATGTTCGAAAAAATTCAAAAAGAAAGAAACTTTTTGAACCCAACGACTTCAAAAAGAAGTTATATTCCAGAAATCTCAAAAAAATAATTTTTTTCAGAAAAAAAACTTCACAATTGGAAATTTTTATGTTTATAGTCTTTGAAGCTTCGAAAGAATGCTGAAAGTTGAATTATCACAATTTTTTTGGCTTCTGATTTCTTGAATACACAGGAAAAATGTTGTGAATGAACTGTTTCTGATGCTAATCAAGCCCTCAGCAGGTCTAGAAGTTCTCCGAAATTCTATTTTATTTTTTAAGAGATTCAGAATTTTGAGAATTTTTCAAGGTGGTAACCAAGCCTCCAGTCCTGGCACTTTTCATGATTTTACCTACTACCATGGAAAATTCCAAATATTTTCGAAGATAAACAAAGTTACAGTAGACTTTCTGCAGCGGCAAATGACAAAAAAAAAAAGTTGAAAGATGGCAGAACCAAAAGATCTCGGGTCGTCGCTTGCGCAAGAGGATTCGATAGGCTGGGAGCGCGCCAACTGTCGGATGCGCGGAAGGACAGAAGACACGGCAGCGACATGACAAATCGCGTAAAAACGTGTGGACCGACGGCTCAAAGGTGCGGTTGCACAAGTCGCGGCGGTTATCTCGTTTGTTCATCATCTGCCCGAAGAGTTCCCTCAGCGGCTCTTTCATCCGTCAGCACCATGAGTGTTTAATGTTGTTGTTGAACAACGTGAGGTGCTCGTGAGAATTCGATGGGAAAGGAAAATGGTCAGGAGCTTGGTTTGAAGCTTTTAGGTTTTTTTGGAGAAGTTGTGAACAAATTTTAATCCGCAATAGTTCAATCTTTTAATTCTGGTCTATTCAACAGCTTCTAAAAAATCTGGATTTTTTTTGTTGGCGATCGTATGGTGCTCTGAATAAAAAAATGGACTTTTCAATAAAAAAAAATGATCACAGAAACGTCGTCAAAGCTACTTTTTAGGATCTCAAACTTCTCGGCCTGATTTTATGAACTTTTCCGATGAAACCGCTTGACAATGAATAACTCAATAGCACCAGAAAAATGGAGGCGGTAAAATCTCTATGAAGAGCTATCAGAAAATTTTTCAAAGAGTTGAATTTTGGCTTACATCGATCGAAGTTTTTGGTTTTCAAGAGGAAACAAAGATAAGAGAAATCAAACAAGAACTAATTCGACGTCTCTTATCAATGACTATGACGTGCTCATAATGAATTTTTGATGGCCAACGATAAAAAAGAACATAAATGATACTCTATTCAAAGGAGTTTGACCCTTAATCACGCCATATTTCCTTGTCCCGGGGTTGAAAAACCCACTGTCTTATTTTTCAAGAAGAAAAGGGAAAGCATGGAAATGAGTCTGGAACGTCTTATAGAAGTTTAGAAGTAAAGCCAGCTCAAATATGATCCATCAACAAGTAAAAGGACATCGTAGGCATTTATCTCGAGTTGAGATCGCGGTTCGTTTCTTGCTCGTTAGCCGGAAAACGCAATAAAACGACGCGCGAGCCAGTGGTCATCTCTTTATCGCAATGGCTGGTGCAGTGCACAGAGATTTATTTGGATATACATGCACCCGCGAAGCAAATAACGAAGCTGAATGATAGTATAGTGACGGCAAAACAGGGATGTTGTGCTCTCGAAATCAACACAAACCGTTTGGAAAACGAGAGAATGAGGTTTATGGCGGAAATTTTGAGAGAAAAATGAGCGGAATTGAAATTCTAGAGGCAATGTTTTCTTTCGCACCTGTGAAATGAACTGAAACAGGCAATCAATCTACGAAAAATTATATACTTTCCGAAAATAGGAAAAAAGAGGGTCTTTAAATTTTCGGTACTGTTTTTCAGAATAATCGAGAAAAGGAATTAAAACTTGATTTTTCCTGGAAATAATACAGTTACATGAAGAAAATGTGATTTTTGAATCAAGAAGAAATGCGAATCGATTTTTTTGTGTGAAAAAAAATAAGACCGTTTTTCCCCATCATAAAGTATAAAAATCTAATATTCTTTTTGATTTCAATTTTTCCCACTAATAATTCTGGAAAAATTGATGTTTCAAAATTGGTTTTCACAAGATCATTGTATTAAAACGTGGGAAAAATTCAATTTCTCTTGGACGAAAAAGTTTAACTAAATTGTAGTTGACTTTTTTGTGTCTTTTAGCTTTCTAGAAGCTTTTGTCGAACGTTTTTTTCATATTTTAAAGAGATTGAAAATTCGAGTTGAATGCAACAAAAGCATCGAGAGTTTACTGGAAAACCCTAAAACTCAACTTTTATGGAACGCGCGAGCATTTCGAAGGCCGTAAAAGGCGCCACAATAAACTGAACGTCGCGAAAAATATGATATGAGTTATCATTGAAAGACGTGGGCCGTACCGAAGGAAAAAGCTGAGTCAGAGTTCGCTTCCGGCGCAATGCAAATTTTGATAACGGCGAGCTAGGGCCTTTTTTGAACATCGGGAAGAAAAAGAAGGGGTTGGTTTTGTGTTGTTGGTGATGAACAACTAATAAAACAACATATTCATAAAGGGCTAGATGGGAAATGGAACTGGAAGGACCCAACAAAGTAGAAAAGTTGGTAAAAAAAAAATCAGAAACTTGGAAGGTCTGATACGTTGAAAAAAACTGAAAAAAATCGAGGAAATATTAAATTTATTCTTGTATTCTTTTAAAAAGGAAAAAATGAAGAAAAGAGAAAAATGAAAAAGAAAAAGTGTGAAGTTTTTTTTTGATCTCAGTGAAATGAAAATTTTGAACTCCGATAATTTCTCTAACAGCTCGAAATCCTCAAGTTTGAGGTCAAAATAAATTATCAACTTTGAATTTTTCCCTCAAGTTTTTTTTTAGCTCGCATCCAAAAACTTTTCTCACGCAAAACTTCACGGTTCTCAGTCAAAAAGCGCATCGCACTAGATAATGAAAAAAAAAAGTCAAATCGGCAAGAAAAAAGTGAGAATGGCGCAATGGGGCATGTTTGGCAGAAGGTTCAAGGCCTCGCAAGTTTTGGCGGTTATGACGGTGGACCACCTCGCTAATTATTCATACGGAGGACAAGCCACGTTCGGCCGAAAGCACGAAGTGTTCGTCTCTTAGCGCGCAAAGGGGCGGGGCATGTCGTGCAAGCTATTCAGAGTCCGAGGCTCTAAGACAGGTGGCTCTCCAATTTCACAAATGGACCATGTATTAATAATACAATTTTCTTCAATTGAGCAATTTCCATGCAGCGGACAGTTTTTAAGAAGGGATTTGGTAACATTGGGAGAGGTCACCTGTTAAGGTAAGTGCAACAGGTGGTTGTTAAGGATTCGATAAAATTTCTTCAAAATTTACTCTGGGACACCTCCCTTTGACCCAGCTGCAAAAACTGCGCATTTTGTTTTTCTAGTCGATCCCTGGAAAAAGAAGGAGTTTTGGGGTATTAGTAACGGTATAATCCCTAAAAGGAGCCCTTTCCTGACTGATTCAAAATAATAGAATCTTAGAGCTCTCTCTCAATAAGCTTTATCGAATTTTTAGTTCCTTTGAAGCGAAAATTTTATCAAAATGTAAGAGAATAATCGAAATACAAATTGATTGGTAGGCTGGTAAACTTTTTGAAGTTCAAAAATAACAACAAAAAAAACCGCTAACGGAAAAAAGTGGTAACCCATCTTTCACTCCATTTCAAGAAGCTCATGTTTTTCAGAGCGAGAAACATTTTTTTTTAACCGAAAATGTATTCTTCACCGTCTCCACCTCACCGAAATTTCATTTTTTGAACAGATGCCACGAATCTCTCGCGCATCTGTAGACAATGCCGAAAACAATTCATCTCCGAATAATGGTCCAGGAACAGTCATTACGTCCCAACTATGTCATTAGGACTTATTTATTCTCATGAAATCTCTCTAAAAAGTGAGAAATGATCAATGAGAACGAAAGGAAGAGTTTTCCG